AGCCCCAACCAGCGAATGAGCTCATTAATGAATATATGTATATATGTATGTATATTTAGATAGGTAATTTCATAGACATGAATGTAAGCGCTGTGCGCACATACTTGTATGCACATTTCTAACTATACAAACCCACTGCGTGCCATTCCTCTCCATCTCTATGGTCTGCACATGCTTTTATATACATACACAGCGAAATATGGCACCCAAATCCGGGAACCCGGGAACTCAAACGCCAACCGAAACCAATCCAGAACCCAAAAACGGGAATCCGCCGACCCCTTGGGGTCATCGGCGTGTGAGATGCTTCCCCCCTCCCCAAACCCCTCCCCCCGGAGCCTGGTCCGGTCGTTTTGGAGGGGGGGGGGGGGGGGTCCGGCCGGATTCCCCGGGATCCGCCGGCGCGGTCCGGGGGGGGTCATCCGCTCCAGAGAGTCTGCTGGGGGGGCCGCAAACGAGCGAAGAGGCTCCCAAGAAGCTCTGCAGACGGTCCAAGAGGGCCCCGAGTCGCCGAAAAAACACTCGAAGACGGTCAAGATGGCCTCCAGATGGCCCCAGATGCCTCCAAGACGCCCCAAGAAGCTTCCAAGACGCCTCCCAAGATGGCCCCAAGAGGCCAAAATCGTCGATTTCCATTGGTTTTTTCAACGTTTTTGGCCTTCGCGTTTTTTCGGGCTTCCGACGCTCCAAGACGGCGAAAGAAGCCCCCAAGACGGCATCAAGACGACCCGAGAGGCTCCCAAGTGGGCCCCAACACGGCCCAAGAGCGCCTCAAAACGGCTCAAGAGGGCCTTCAGACAGTCCAAGAGGGCCCACAGAGGGGCCCAAGAAAGGCTCCAGACGGGGACCACGAACCTAAAATTCTAGCCTTCCGCCCCAAAAGGCGCCAAGGAGGCCCCAAGAGGCCTCCAAGAGGCTCCAAGAAGCCCCCAAGAGGCCCCCAACAAGCCCAAAAAAAGCCCCAAGCTGCCCCAAAACAGCTCCCCAGAAGCCTCCAAACTGCCTCCCGCAGGCCCCCGAGAGGATTCTCACGACGACGGCGCCAGAGGCTCCCACAACGGTCAACGACGCCCCCAAGATGGCCCCAAAAAGGTGCCCAGCCTACGCCGTCGAGTCTGTCGCCGCCACTGTCGACGGCCCACGAAGGCACCAAGAGGGGCCCAAGAGGACAACAAATAATTCAAAAATCTAGCCTTCCGCCCCCACGAGAGTGCCCCAAGAGGCCGCCAGAGGCCCCCAAGAGGCCGCCAAGACGCCCCAAGCAGTCCCCAACAGGCTCCCAGGAGGCCTCCAAAAGACCCCCAGACGCTTCCGCATTGCGAGCCGTCAAGCCAACTGCAATGCACTCCGCGCATGCAGCCTTGCTCTTCCTCGCGACGTGCTCACAATCTTGCTCGGCGCTAATGTGCTGCTGCTACGCGAACTGTTTCGCGCGCGCTGCAAACGTCAACAGCCTCTTCACCCGTTTCGACTCATCTGCCACATCTTTCGCGGTGATGTTTCGCTGATCACAGCTTCCGCACGCTACTCTTGCTCCTTTCGTCTTCCGGTGCTCCTCCACTTGGTTGAGGGTCGAAAGGCCGACCTCCCAGAAAGACACCCCGCACCCGGGTGCACAGCACGCAAGGCGCTCGCAAAACACGCCCCAGACCACCGGCATCACGCAAACATTTGGACCCCCCCACGTATCTGCCACCACCCGCGCGCGACACCGCACCCTCACACAAGACGCCGCTGGCCAGAAACTCCTGGCCTCGCAACAGTCACAGAAGGGGTCGGCGGATGTGGCGTAAGCCTGTAGAATCCAGAACCCCAAACTGGGAACCCAACCACCCACCGAAACCAATCTGGAACCCGGAAACAAGAATCCAGAGCCCAAATCCGGGAACCCAGGAACCCGGCCACCTACCGAAATCGGTGGCGAACTTTCGCCAAGACCAATTCGGAGTCGGAAACCGAACCCGCACCCGAAACCCAGAAGCCGGAAACCCGACCGCCTACCGAAATCGGCGGCGAACTTCCGCAAAATCTTTCAATTTTCGTTAGAACCCCTACAGTGCAAGCGCTGATCGAGGGAGACACACGTGTGGAACCCGTACCCCTCAACCCGAAATGTGGGTCTTCGAGTTGGATTGGGGTGGTCTGGTAGGTAGCCTGTTCGGACGCACTGACACGGGTCAATGCAAACCCGGATCAGTCAGGCTTTGCAGGATCCTGCAAGATCCTGCAGAGCCTGACTGACCAGGGTCCAACGCACGCCCTGCTCTGCAGGATCCTGCAAGATCTGGCGCTCTGGCTGACCAACGTTTGCACTGACCTCCGTCTCAAAGCTCCCGCGAGGAAGGAAACTGGTGCCCAGGGGAGTGGTATCAGAACCTGCGGGGGTCTACGCTGCGGGAAAAACACGACTTCAGAAGTTTGGGGAGGGCCAGGTGTTCGAGTCCCCTCTCCCTCCCTCCTCCCTCTTCCTCCCGCCTCTAACCGCGGGGACCTGGTACGCCTTCTGAGATTCCAGCCGCACATCGCGACAAAGTTTCTCCAGAATTGGGGATTCGGACGACGCTAGCAGAGGCCGCGCTGCAACAACAAATCCTCCGTCATCCTCCCTCCCTCCCCCTCCCTTCTCCTAAGATGGAAGAGGGAAGAAGGAGCAATGAGGAGGAGGAGGAAGGGGAACGAGCGGGAAGGCTTCCCCCTCATTCCCCCCTTCTCGTCCTTCGAACCTCCTCCTCCTCCTCCACACCGCCTCACACGAGGCTGGATGTGAATACCAAGCTGGTTGGCGCGTCGCCCGCGTTTGGCCCAGCTGCCTCATCGAGCGACCTCGACTCGCCCGACGAGACCAGCAGTGCGACCACAAAGAGCCAGCAGGCACGCACCACGCCACCTCGCGAGAGGATAGATGTGAGTACCGACCTGCTTGGCTCCACGTCGCCTTAGTTTTGCGGACATGACGAAGACAACGATATCCACCTCAGGAGTCAAACCGTTGCAAGCAACAGGGCTGATAGGGGAGGACAGCCCCTCCCTGCGTCGGCCAGGGACGGCCACTCCCTGCGTCAGCCGGTTGGTGAAGGTCAGCGTGCTGAACCGCGCCTGCCGAATCTGACCGCTCCCATCACGGACACGAAGCATGACCAGCACCACGACAGCATCCAGGAACACGACGACAACCTGTATGGTACGGCTACCCTCCTCGGAAAGCATGTCGCGGCGGATGCTCACGGCTGCTGCCGCGGGGGTCCGTCGCGAGGTGCCGAAGATCCCGGAGGTGGAACGACGACACGCCACAGTGCGAGCCCGACAGCACCGCTTCCCGCGCCTCCGCCAGATGCGCGGGGAGAGGGGGCGGTCCCCAGGGACGCGGCCCCCGAGACCACAGCTGCGAGGAGGAGATGGACGAAGGCGCAGAGGCCGCGGCAACGCCACGACGACAACGGTACTGCCACCGCCCTTGGAGGGCGGGTCGCAGCAGATGTCCGTGGCGCGAGTCGCGGGGGTCTGCTGCGGGGTGCCGAGGATCCCGGAGGTGGAACGGGGACTCCACCGACGAGGCCATCGGCACGGCTCCCTGCGCCTCCGCCAGACGCGCAGGGAGGGAGGGCGGTCCCCGGGGGCGCGGCCCTCGGAGCGGCGGCGGCCCGCGCCCGCCCACCCGCAGCACGGCCCCCTGCGCCGCCTCGAGACGCGCAGGGAGAAGGGGCGGCCCTCAGGGACGCGGCCCTCGGAGCGGCGGCGGCCCGCGCCCGCTAGGCGCGCGGACCCGCCCCCGCAGACAGCCATTGCGGCTGGGGCGGAAACTCGGAAACTCACTCTTCTCCTCCTCCTCCTCCTCCTCCTCCTCCTGCTCTCATTTCCCCGCCTCCTCCTCTCCTTCTTCCTCCTCCATATTCCTCTCTCCCCTTTTGTCCCCTCCTCCATCCTTCCTCTACTTCTGCCCCCCTCCTTCCTCCCTCCGCATCTTCCAATCCTGCCCCCCTCCTCACCCATGGTCCCCCTCCCCCTCCCCTTCCTTCCTCCTCCTCACTCCTCCCTTCCAATTCCCTTCCCTTTCTTACGGGGAACGAAGATGGAAAGGAAGAAGCGCCTCCGGCGTCGCCCCCTGGCGAATCCGCGCGCCAGGGAGGGGGGTTCCAACGCCGATCCAATACATCCGCGCAGATCTCCGACGAGTTATGTTTATGTAGATAATGCAATTGTCCTTCTTCGATGAACTTCCCCGTCTCCTCTTCTGTTCAGGCTTCGTACCCGCCTCGGTGCTGGGGCGCGCGTGCGAAGCAAGCTACCCGTGGCCGGTATTTCGTGCGCGTGGTGCGGGAATGCGCCGTGTAAGGTCGCTCGATGAGGAAGGATCAAGCATCGAGGAGGAAGAGACCGACGAGAAGGATCGAGGTCGAGGATCGAAGAGGATGGACGAGGAAGATGATCGAAGAGGAGGAGGAGGAAGAGGAGGTGGAGGTGGAGGAGGAGGAGCGGCGGACGATCTTCGGAGATCCCTGGAGGTCCCAGAACGTTGGGCGCTGCCAGCTACAACGACGACCAGGGAAGAGATACTCGGTGAGGGGCGCCGAATGCCTGAGCCCCCATTTCCGCCGCGCGCACGCGCGTCGCGGCACCGCTCGGGGTGGAGGACCTGGCTCGGGCCTGGCACTCTCATGCTCTCTCGCGTCAGGGGGAGCGGCTCCCAGCAGTCCTGGCTTTAGCCAGGCGGAGGATCTTCAAGGAATGGTCTTCGCGACAGAAACCGCTGTGCGCGGCTGCTCTAAAAACAAGACGAGGCTCTTAGACCACAAAACCGATTGATTAAGACAAGACGGTCTCAGGCATAATTGAAATGGTCGAATCACACACCGTGCAAAACACAACAAGTCCGTAGAACATTTCTTGGTAGGCCTTGGCCAGGACACCTCGCCACTGCTTGGAGGGCTGCGGCCCGCCCTCCTGCGGAAAACACGCCGCAAGCCGAGGGAAGAGCGGCGCGGAGGAGGGGGCGGGGGGGCCTGCAGCAGCGCAAGCACGAGCACCCCCGCGGCGGGCCCCGCCATGCCTGGGGGCGAAAGCACGTAGCCCTAGTCGAGCGTCGTTGTCGTCGTCTTCGTCGTCATCGTCGACGCGCTCCTCCCTCCTCCCTCCTCCATCCTACCTCCTCCTCCACCTCCGTCCTCCTCAACCCTCGTCCTTCCTGAGCGTCCTCCCTTCTCCTCCTGCTGCCTCCTCTTCCTCCTCCTCCTCCTCCTCCTCCTCTCCTCCTCCTCCTCTCCTCCTATATGAACGCCCCAGCACTGCGAGGCGCATGAGCCTCGCAGTGCTCCTTCCTCATCCCCCCATGCCCCTCCCGCCTCCTCCTCCACGGCGCGCCCTGGGCAGTCGGACACGCCAGGCCAGGGGACCAACGGCGTCGTCGACGAGCGTCGTCGACTGGCGTCACGCCGTCGTTGTCCACGTCGGGGCTGCGACGGCATCTCCTCGCGTTCCCTCGCTCCCTGCCACTCTTGTTTGCGAGGGAGGGCACGGGATGGACAGCTGCTCGGCGCGGCCACCATGAGGCCGATGCCGTTCGCCTCATCCCGCCCGGCACGGAGGACGAAGACGACGAGGAGGACGACGAGGACGAGGACGAGGACGACGTCGATGACGACGACGACGACGACGACGACCGTCGCAGATCTACTGAGGTCCATGTGCAGGTCTCCATGACTAGGTCCGCAGGGACTCGAAGGGCTCCGCGCAGCCAGGAGCCTCGGGAGGCCAAGGTGGGCCTGCACGCCTTGGGATCACGTCGGCGGGGGCGACAACGAACGGCGGGGTAGGGACGACAAGGGCGAAGAAGGGGTCGCGCCTATGCCGCGCAGTGGGCAACAAGTCTGGCCCAAATGTGTATATATATATATATAAAAACAGATATGTACAATTTGATCTGCAGGATACGGCTGCGCGGCGATCCAGCCTTCCTCCCCCCGACCGCCTTTGCTCCCACCCTCCCTCGCTCCCCCGGCCCTGTCTCCATCATCCCTCCCTCCCTGCATCAGCCTCTCTGCCCTCTCACAACCGCTCCCTCCCACATCTGAGCATCACCACCCCTTACCGCCCGCCATCCCTCCCTCCCCTCCCCCCCCCGCCCTTGTGCCCTCGCCTTCTGTCCCCTTCCCTGGCCCTTCTCTTGGCGCCTCCCGCATCTCATTCTTCTGCGCGGCTCTGATTGCCCCCTCTTCTCTATCGCATCCCGCTTCACTCCATCCTCAACGCGTTCGCCTCCCTCCTTCCATCCAACGCTCGCTGCACATCCCGCGACATCGCCCTTCCATCACACAATATCTCCTCTTCACCCGCCCATCCCCTCTTTCCCGTTCCCGGTCATCTGCTCCGCCCTACTGGAACGATTAATTCCCCTCGTCCAGCCTGCAACGCGTATGCACCCACAACTTCTCCAGGCACGTACCAAACACCACGAGACTCATGGCAAGACCACAGGGTGTGTCTGCGTAAGGCCGCACTCCGCTGACCCCCCAGCAGCCCACAGCAGCGGCGACAGCAGCGCAGTGGGCAACGCCCCGGGGGGGCGACTATGCAATCTGACCTGAATCCGCCGACCCTGTAGGCGTGTGTGAGGGGCGTGTCCGTTCGAGTCGTCGTCCCCGTCATTCGTTAATCGTCGTCTCTGTCGCCCCCCGTCCCTGCGGCCCCCATTTCCCTGGGCCCGCCGCTCCCCCCATTTCTCCTGTGCCCTCCTCCTCCTCCTCAAGCGTGCCAGCCGAAGCGAAATTGAGCAACGTCGCAATTCAGTCGAAGGCAGCCCCTTCCCTTTGATCCCTCCCCCGTTGGGGGGGGCGCGGAGGCCGTCCTGGGGGGGGGGGTCCCGAGTGAGGTCCCGGGTGGCGTCCCGGGGGGGGATCCCGGGGGGAATCGCCACCCAGATGCATCTCCCCCTGGGGGGTCCCGGGTCCCAAAAAAGCAAAAAGACGGGCCACGAGTGTTCGAAGAGGCCCCAGAGACGGTCCAAGAGGATCCCGAATCGCCGAACGATGTCCAAAACGCCTTGACGGCCTCCAGTCGGCCCATGAGGCCTGCAAGTCCCCCAAAGAGGCCTCCAGGAGCACTCCCAAGAAGGCCCCCAAAGGCAAAACTCATATATCTCCTTCTGGTTCTTGTTAACGGATGTGGGCGTTCTCGCCTCTTCCGCTTCCCGGCGCTCCCAGACGGCCCAGGAGGCCCCCACAATGGCCCAAGAGGGCCCCAAGACGGCCCGAGACGCCTCCAAGACAGGCCAAGAAACCCCCAGGCACCAAAAGGCATCCAAAACGCCCTCAAGAAGCCCCCCGGAAGCCCCAAGAGACCTCCAAGAGGCTCCCAAGAGGCCCTCCAAGAGTCTCCCACAACGCTCACTAACTGCCACACTCCTCCTACTCCTGCCCCTCCTCCTCCCCCTCGTCCGAGTCCTCCTCCTTCTCCTGCTCCGCCGACTCCCTCGGTCCTCCTACTGCAAATTGCCCCCCACCGTCGTCCCCCATGCCCCTGCTCCCCCTCCTCATCCTCCTCCGCCTCTTTCTCATGTTCCTAGCCGTCGTCGTCCTCCTCCTCCTCCTCCTCCTCCTCCTCCTCCTGTTGTTCCACCGCGTCCTCCGCCTCCTCCTCGTCCTGCTCCTCCCCCCACGCCTCCTCCTCCTCCTCCTCCTCCTCCTCCTCGTCGTCGTCGTCGTCGTCGTCGTCGTCTTCTTCAAGGAAGGCGGCGTCAGCTGTAAGGCTTTCACAAGAATACTGCACTCCGCTGCACCCCCCACGCGCGCGCAGCGGCGGCAGGTGTAAATTGGCAGAACAGGAGGAAGGCGAAAACTCAGTATGACCTGGGTAGGGCCGCGCACCGGTGGACCACCCAAGGAACACGAACGTGGCGACTGCGCCGTTGGCAGTACTCAAGGGGGAGAGGTCTGATTCGGATCTTGGCAGGACGGACCGCACACGGCTGGACCCACCAGGAGCGTGCGAAAGCGATGACATTCGCGCAGACGGCAAAACCCAGGGAGACGATGCTTCATTTGATATGGGTGAGACCCCGCTCCGCAGAAAAATCACCAATCCAGGAGCTCACAACAATTGCGCGTTGCGCGGTTGGAAGCGCTGCGCATGGGAAGCCGAAGTGCCACTGTGATCCAGGTAGCGCCGTACTCAGCTGGACCCCTAGCTCGCGAAAATTGCGACAACTGCCCATTTGACATCAGAATGAGGACGGGGGGAGATTGTGTGGATGATGCGAAGGAGTGCGGAGGTGGACGGAGGAGGTGAGGAGGTAGATGAAGGAGCTGAGGAGGTCAATGAAGAAGGAAAGGCGGGACAACTTTTCTAAGGAAGGGCCACCAACCATGGGACCCCCTTCTGAGAGAAATCTCCGACGGGGGGGGGGTCATAAACCAGGAAGCCCCTCTCCCCATCCAACCCCTCCCCCTGCCCCCCCTCGGGGAAAACCTACGGGTTCGGAGCCCCTCTCCCACCCCTCGGGGAGAATCTAAAGGGTCTAGAACACACCCCTCCCCTTCGAAAACGAATGGAAGGGGTTTGGAAACCCCGTAAAAACTGCCGACCCTGTTGCGTGTGTGCGGGTTTGGCTGTTCGAGTCGTCGTCTCCGTCAGTCGTCGTCTCCGTCGCCCCTTTTCCCTAAACCCTTCTTCTCAAACTTGTCAGCGAGAGAAAAGCCTAGCAATACTGTAATCGAATCGGAAAGACACAAATTCGAACGGCTTTCTTTCGACTTAATCGGAAGGGATCAGAGCGAATGAATTCCCTTTGATCCCTTCCCCGCACCGGGGGGGGTTGGAGTCCCGGGGGGTCTCGGGGGGTCACCGACACCGAATGGGAGCGCGCTGGGTGTGATCCCCCTATCCGCTTGGGCTCGCAAAGCGTAGCACGCGTGGCATTTCCTCGACACTACTGGGGGTGCGCTGCGGGTGGTCCTCCCGTCCGCTTCGGGCTCGCACAATGAAACAGGCGTGGCACTTCCTCAAAATCACGGGGGGACTGTCAATGGGTGTGGTTCCACTATCCGCTTCGGGCTCGCAAAGCGCGTAGCAGGCACGCACTTCCTCGACGCCACATGGGGTACGCTGGGGGTGGTCCCCCCATCCGCTTCGGGCTCGCAAAGCTTGAAAGGCGTGGCACTTACTCGGCACCGCAGATGGGGCGGTGGTGGAGCTCCTGACCGCTCACGGGGTGCGATAGGCGTGGCGATTCCTTGACGCCAGAGGGCTGCGTATCGCGTGGTGGGATGCGCGGGCGAAAGCACGCGTCTTACCCAAAATCGGAGGTGAAGGGGTGAGATCGAAGTGGAACGGAGAGCCCCCCTACCGGGAAATCGATGTTGGTTTCGTGTTCGTGCGTGCCCCGCACGCGGGCGAGGCGAAGCTGCGTGGGCGGGCGAGAGGAAAGTCTCCTGTGGCTGAGGCGCGACCGGACCAAATGTGTCTCTTCCGGGCGGCCAGTGGCGCGCGGTGTCCCGCCGGTGTCCCGCTGGTGTCCCGTCGGTTTCCCTGTGGCTGAGGCGCGGCCGGACCAAATGTGTCTCTTCCGGGCGGCCGGTGGCGCGCGGTGTCCCGCCGGTGTCCCGCTGGTGTCCCGTGGGTGTCCCTGTGGCTCAGGCGCGGCCGGACCAAATGTGTCTCTTCCGGGCGGCCGGTGGCGCGCGGTGTCCCGCCGGTGTCCCGCTGGTGTCCCGTGGGTGTCCCTGTGGCTCAGGCGCGGCCGGACCAAATGTGTCTCTTCCGGGCGGCTGGTGGCGCGCGGTGTCCCGCCGGTGTCCCGCTGGTGTCCCGTCGGTGTCCCGTCGGTGTCCCGATGATGATGTGGATGATTATGATGATGGTGATGGTGATGATGATGATGGTGATGATGGCGATGATGATGATGATGGTGGTGTTGTTGTTGATGATGATGATGACGTCGATTGTGAGATCGATGGTGAAATCGATAGTGAGACCGAATGTGAGATCGACTGTGAGATCGATAGTGAGATCGAATGTGAGATCGATAGTCAGATCGATTATGAGATGATGATGG